AAAAACCTTAGAATTGGTGATGAGAGGTAACTTAATTAAGGGCTTTAGAGCCATGTCTCTTTCCCACATCTATCTGATAGAAAGTTTGATGGTAGAATGGAAAAGGAAAAGCACTGCCCTCCTCCAGGAAGAGTTGGAGCCAAGCAATTGAGCTGAGGAAGCAATATAACTGGTGCAAACAACATTGATTGACAGCTATAAATAACCAATCAATCCAACTATACATTTACAAACTAGGCAAGTTTGGGCATGTTATACAGTTTAATACTTTGCACTTTAAAGTTCTACACACAGGTGGCACCACTTGCGCTGTCACAGCCAGGGCTTCCCAGTGCTCAGTGTCTATGCCAGAGTCCTTAAGGTTGGTTTTGAGCCCATCTTTGAATGTCTTTTCCTGTCCTCCAACATTCCGTTTTCCGTTCTTGAGTTTGGAATAGAGCAACTGCTTTGGGAGACGGTGGTCGGGCATCGGGACAACATGGCCGGTCCAACGGAGTTGATGGCAGAGGACCATCACTTCAGTGCTGGTGGTCTTTGCTTCTTCCAGCACGCTAACATTTATCCGCTTGTCTTCCCAAGAGATTTGCAGGATTTTCCAGTGCTGATGGAATCGTTCCAGGAGTTGCATGTGACGTCTGTAGACAGTCCACGTCTTGCAGGCATATAGCAGGGTTAGGAGGACAATAGCTGTATAAACAATCACCTTGGTCTTCCTACGGATGTCCCGGTCCTCAAAAACTCTCTGCTTCATTCGGAAGAATGCTGCACTCGCAGAGCTCAACCGGTGTTGTATTTCAGTGTCAGTATTGACGTCTGTAGACAGTCCACATCTCGCAAGCGTATAGCAGGGTTGGGAGGAGAATAGTTTTATAAACAAGCACCTTGGTCTCCCTACCGATGTCCCAGTCCTCAAACACTCTCTGCTTCATTCAGAAAAAAGCTGCACTCGCAGAGCTCAGGCGGTATTGTATTTCAGTGTCAATGTTGACGTCTGTAGACAGTCCACGTCTTGCAGGCGTATAGCAGGGTTGGCAGGACAATAGCTTTATAAACAAGCACCTTGGTCTCCCTACCGATGTCCCGGTCCTCAAACACTCTCTGCTTCATTCGGAAAAAAACTGCACTCACAGAGCTCAGGTGGTGTTGTACATATTTCGGTGTCAATGTTGACTTTGGTGGAGAGGTGGCTGCCAAGGGAGCGGAAATGCTCAACATTTTCTAATGTTACACCATTAAGTTGTATTTCTGGCATTGTTTAAGTTATTGTCGAAGGCTTTCATGGCCGGAATCACTGGGTTGTTGTAGGTTTTTTCGGGCTATATGGCCATGTTCTGGAGGCATTCTCTCCTAATGTTTTGCCTGCATCTATGGCAAGCATCACCTCACTACCTCTGAGGATGCTTGCCATAGATGCAGGCGAAATGTCAGGAGAGAATGCCTCTAGAACATGGCCATATAGCCCGAAAAAGCCTACAACAACTCGTTGTTTAAGTTGTATTTCAGGCTCCGCTTTGCCTCATGTAAGCCGCACCAAGTCCATTGGGGAGATGGTAGCGGGATATAAATAAAGTATTATTATTATTATTATTATTATTATTATTATTGTAGTAGTAAGTGGTCTGAATAATCGTTTTGGAATAATCATAATTCACATTTATCTCTTCCCAACTAATGCTGGCATGGAAGAGGAAATCGAGGAAAAGGGGGACGCAATGTGATGGACAAATCGTACCCAGAATCAGACACAATTTGTGGGCCCTTGTGCAAATAACTATATATATATATACACACACACTAAGATTGGCAGGGAAAGACCTTCCACTTATGGCACAGTGGTGGTTGTATAAATATTTTAGGCGTGGAATATTTTTAGAGCCCCCCGAGCTAACCCGGGGAGGAAGGAAAAAGCCTTCCTTCTCCCCGGCCCCTCATCGCCCCACTTTGGGCACGTCGATTTCCATTTCCATCTCTGCATGGCTGGGAAAAAGTAGCCCCGCTCGCTCTGCCGTGGTCCCTCCAGGAAAACAAAATGGATTTTCTAAGCGGGGAGGTTTTAGAAGCAAGAAGTGACCATTTAGCGTAAAACCCAAACCTTGGCTGGGCATTTGGGGACCTGCGGATGGAAAGTGGAGGGGGAAAAATAGAGAAGCTGTCCTTGAAAAACCCTGGATTGGCAGGTCTGCATACCTTCCAACCTTTCTGATTCAACAGTCCAATTAAGCCTCCGCCATCCCATTGTTTCACCTCCTTTTAAAATGCCCTTGCTTCTCTCTCCTCCTGCTGCACTTGTGGTCCGGCAACTTCAACATGTGATCAAGATGGCAATACTGGCAATTCTTAAATTAGGACAAAATAGGTTTTGTGGATTTGTTGTTAAGTTGAATTTGTATGTAAGTCAGAACAGGTACATTTTTAAAGTGGAACTCCAGTCATATATATGTGTGTGTGTGTGTGTGTGACGTATATATAAATGTAACATTTGTTTGTGGGATTAACATAACTCAAAAACCACTGGACAAATTGACACCAAATTTGGACACAATACACCTATCAGGCCAACAAGTGACCATCACTCATAAAAACACTGAAAAGCATAGCAGAAGAGACTTAAGAAGCCAAAAAAAACCCCAACATTACAAAGCATGCACAAAACCACATATATCTATGTAAACACACATATATACAAATAGAAGTGGAAAAAGGGAGAAATCACCAAAGAAGAATTCAAACAAATAGCCAACACCTGTAGGGATAAGGTCCGCAAGGCTAAAGCACAAAACAAGCTCAGGCTTGCCAGGGACATTAAAAACAATAAAAAGGGCTTCTTTTCTTATGTCAGTAGAAAAAGGAAAAACAAGGAGGCGATAGGGCCTTTTCGAGGAGAAGATGGGGCAATGCAGACAGGGGATAGGGAAAAGGCAGAACTACTTAATGCCTTCTTTGCCTTGGTCTTCTCACAAAAAGAAAGTCATCTTCAACCTCAGCAAGATGGAGTGGATGAGGGATTAGAGGACATCCAACCCCAAATTGGGAAACAAGTTGTCCAGGAATACCTGGCCGCTCTAAATGAGTTCAAGTCCCCTTTCAGGGCCAGATCAACTACACCCAAGAGTATTGAAGGAACTAGCGGAAGTCATTTCGGAACCATTGGCAACCATCTTTGAGAGTTCTTGGAGAAGGTCCAGCAGACTGGAGGAGGGCCAATGTGGTCCCAATCTTCAAGAAGGGAAAAAAGGATGACACAAACAATTACCGATGTCCGGTCAGCCTCACGTCGATACCAGGCAAGATTCTGGAAAAGACTGTTAAGAAAGTGGTCTGCAAACACTTAGAAACAAATGCGGTCATTGCGAATAGTCAACATGGATTTATCAAAAACAAGTCATGCCAGACTAATCTGATCTCTTTTTGTGATAGAGTTACAAGCTGGGTAGATACGGGGAATGCCGTGGATGGAGCGTACCTGGATTTCAGGAAGGCCTTCGACAAGGTCCCCCATGACCTTCTGGCAAGGAAACTAGTCCAATGTGGGCTCGGCAAAACTACGGTGAGGTGGATCAGTAATTGGTTAAATGGACGAACCCAGAGGGTGATTCTCCCCAAGGCTTCCTCTTCATCCTGGAAAGAAGTGACGAGTGGAGTGCCATCAGGAGGGTTCCATCCTGGGCCCGGTCCTGTTCAGGATCTTTATTAATGACTTAGATGAAGGGCTAGAAGGCAGGATCATCAAGTTTGCACACGACACCAAATTGGGAGGGAGAGCCAATAGTCCAGAGGACAGGAGCAGGATTCAAAATGATCTTGACAGATTAGAGAGATGATGGGCCAAAACAAAGAAAATGAAGTTCAACAGTGACAAATGCAAGATACTCCACTTAGGCAGAAAAAAACGAAATGCAAAGATACAGAATGGGGGACGATGCCTGGCTTGAGAGCAGTACGTGTGAAAAAGATCTTGGAGTTCTCGTGGACAACAAGTGAAACATGAGCCAACAATGTGATGTGGCGGCAAAAAAAGCCAGTGGGATTTTGGCCTGCATCAATAGGAGCATTGTGTCTAGATCTAGGGAAGTCATGCTCCCCATGCTCTATTCCGCTTTGGTTACACCACACCTGGAATATTGTGTCCAATTCTGGGCACCACAGTTGAAGGAAGATATTGACAAGCTGGAATGTGTCCAGAGGAGGGCGACTAAAATGATAAAAGGTCTGGAGAACAAGCCCTATGAGGAGCGGCTTAAGGAGCTGGGCACGTTTAGCCTGAAGAAGAGAAGGCTGAGAGGAGAAATGATGGCCATGTATAAATATGTGAGAGGAAGCCACAGGGAGGAGGGAGCCAGCTTGTTTTCTGCCTCCCTGGAGACTAGGACGCAATGGAACAATGGCTTCAAACTACAAGAAAGGAGATTCCACCTGAACATGAGGAAGAACTTCCTGACTGTGAGAGCCATTCAGCAGTGGAACTCTCTACCCCGGAGTGTGGTGGAGGCTCCTTCTTTGGAAGCTTTGAAACAGAGGCTGGATGGCCATCTGCCAGGGGTGCTTTGAATGCAATATTCCTGCTTCTTGGCAGAAAGGGGTTGGACTGGATGGCCCATGAGGTCTCTTCCAACTCTTTGATTCTATGATTCTATGATTCTATACACAAATATATGTGGGAGATGCAGTTTGTCAAAGAGTCTGGACCTGAGCCAATAATTTGCATCAACATTGGAGAATTCATGCAGTTTGAATTGCCACAACTTTATGCTATAAAATCCTAGGAGTTGTAGTTTGGTGAGGCCCTTTTAGAACGCTGAAGACCTTCTAAAACTACAACTCCCAGGATTCCATAGCATTGGACCATGATGTTAAAGTGCCCTCAAAGCACCTTAATTCTACAGTGTAGATGCACCCATATAGTCCAATGCTCAAATTGCTACCCTAACTAGAAAAAGAAAAGCAGTTTCTTAGTGCCACCTGCTGGACTAGTTATAATATAATAGATTAGTGTTTACATCTTATTTTATTTTTATGGTTATTTAATATTTAATGTTATTTTACTTAAGTGATATTTCTCTTTACTGTCCCAATATAGCACAAATCCAATGTAAAATCATACTGTGTATTTTTGACATTAATATTGAAATCTGAAATATATACAGAAAGTAGATGAATGATACCAATTAAAGGAAAGGAAAATATAATCAGACCACATATCGATGGGACTACGTTCCCGGCCTAGCCCTCTCCCTTGGATCACTTGGCAACCCAAAGGGAGGAAGCCCAAATCAGGTTCCACGTCTTCAAAATCTTTAGACGTGGTTGAAATTGTGTGCCTTGGATGATGGATCCCAACGTTCATTGTTTCGTCTTCATCTCCTTATTAAGACAGGTTCTTCTTTGAGTTGCCCAATGCTCTTTTCACCCTGAATGGGCCACGACAAGGGTGAGCAGAAGGGCTTGAGCGAGGAGGCAAATGGATGGGAATCGAAGTCCGAAGAGTCCTGCAAAAAGACAGAGGGGAGAAGCAAAGAAGATGGTTCAGATCAGCCCAGTAAAGATGGAAGGCGGCCGTAGAGTCTCTGCAAAGCCCAGGCTGGTTAACTCATTAATTACAGATATTATTATTATTATTATTATTATTATTATTATTATTATTTGAAGCACAACAAGATGTGTCCACAGCAGACAAGATCACTCTGCTGGCTATTGTATTGGATCACGCGTCCGACACTTCCCAAATGTCTAGGACTATTATTATTATTATTATTATTATTATTATTATTATTATTATTATTTGAAGCACAACAAGATGTGTCCACAGCAGACAAGATCACTCTGCTGGCTGTTGTATTGGATTACATGTCGGACACTTCCCAAGTGTTTTGGACTATTATTATTATTATTATTATTATTATTATTATTTGAAACACAACAAGATGAGTCCACAGCAGACAAGATGACTCTGCTAGCTGTTCTATTGGATCACACCTCGGACACTTCCCAAGTGTATAGGACTGTGTGATGTATCGGTGAATAATGCGTGAACATCCCAGTAAGGTGGCCTTCTGCAGCTGGCAGATGGTAATTTTGTCAGCACCAATTGTGTTTAAGTGCAGGCCAAGGACTTTAGGCACTGCACCCAGTGTGCCGATCACCACTGGGACCACCTTGACTGGCTTGTGCCAGAGTCTTTGCAGTTCGATCTTTAAATCCTCATATCATGTCAGCTATTTATTATTATTATTATTATTATTATTATTATTATTATTATTATTATTATTACTATTAGATACACAACAAGATGAGTCAGACACAACTATTATTTTATTTATTTACCATATTTGTATACCGCCTTTCTCAGCCCGAAAGCAACTCAAGGCGGTTTACAGTTGGCAACAATTTGACTTTTATGCCCCAACAACATAAAATACAATTAAAAACATTTAGCATATAATATAAATAACCATAGGTAAAGGTAAAGGTTTTTCCCTGACATGAAGTCCAGTCGTGTCCAACTCTGGTGCTCATCTCCATTTCTAAGCCGAAGAGCCGGCGTTGCCCGTAGACACCTCCAAGGTCATGTGGCTGGCATGACTGCATGGTGCACTGTTATCTTCCTGCCAGAGCGGTACCTATTAATCTACTCACATTTGCATGTTTTCGAACTGCTAGGTTGGCAGAAGCTGGGGCTGACAGCAGAAGCTCATGCTGCTCCGCGGATTTGAACAAGCTCAGCAGCTCAGTGCTTTAACCCATTGCATCATACTAGATTTAATATCAGGGGGAAACCTTTACCTAACTATGAATCTACAGACTCAATCAGTGAGGGTATCTGCATGGTGGTAGCCTGGCCTTTGTTGCGTGGAGGCATCCCCTTGAACTGTCATGGCTCCATGCAATGGGAGTTGTAGTTTGGTGTGACACCGGCCCTCTTGGGCAGAGAAGGCAAAAGACCTTGCTCAACTACAGCTCCCAGCATTCAGTTCCATTGTGTCTTGGCATCTAAAGAGGCATCAAACTGCATCGATGCTATAGAGATTGATGCAGTTTGATCAATCGCGTAGAGATTTCTAGAGGAAGCATGTTGATCTAACCGGCGAATAATCAAATGCAGTGAGATGAAGGCCTGAAATGGAATGTGGATAAACGCCTCATTTTATCTGTTTGTTCTTCTGACTCCAAACACCCTTCTCGTGTATGTGTATGTATACATTTATATATGTCCCTTGTCTCCGCTTTTAGACTGCTATCTTCTCGCAAGGACTTTGAACGTCTCGAGGAAACGCCGCCGCAGCAAAAGAGGCAACGAACGGCTGCGTAAATAATTATTTTGCTTTTTACAAACTTCCCTCCCCGCTTTTCCAAATTCGTCAACGCACGGGTTAGCCACATAATGACTTTTCAGAACTTCAAAAAGAATTGCTGAACGTGGAATAACGACGACGGCGATGAATAATGCAAGGGACAACGCCGAACGCAAGGAGAAGCGTTTGCTTGGGCAAACTCCAGAAACGGAGCTATTCGGAGACACACAAAGAGGGCGGAGGGAGACCCAGAGAGAGGAAACAAGCAGCCAGCTGACAAATCCGCTTAGGTTTCCAAAATGTTAATTTGGCAAGTGGTGTTATTTGTAATAATTTGCGAGGCTGTTTGGATTTTCGCAGAAACCCAAGGGACGGGAGGAAGAGGAATTGGTGCCTTTTGGCTTTCCCATCCCTTGTCTTTCGGAGTGCATCTACACTGTCACATTAATGCAGTTTGGCACCACTTTAACTGCCACAGCTCAATGCTTTGGACTCCTGGGATTCGTAGTTTCAGGAGGCAACACTTTTCAAGGCCTTTTCAAGGTACAACTCCATTGATACAATAGTCTCGAGACATGATAGTAATAATAATAATAATTATTATTATTATTAATAATATTTGAAACACAACAAGATGAGTCCACAGCAAACAAGGTCACTCTGCTGGCTGTTCTATTGGACCACACGTCGGGTCCTTCCCAAGTGTCTAGGACTGTGTGATATATCGGCGAATAATGCGTGCAGATCCAAGTGGGGTGGCCTTTTGCAGCTGACAGATGGTAATTTCGTCAGCTCTGATTGTTTTTAAGTGCACGCCAAGGTCTTTAAGCACTGCACCCAGTGTGCCCATCACCACTGGGACCACTTTGACTGGCTTCTGCCAGAGTCTTTGCGGTTCGATCTTTAAATCCTTGTATCATGTATTATTATTAATATTATTATTATTCTAAATTATTATATTATTAGTATTAGTAGGTAAAGGTTTCCCCCTGACATTAAGTCCAGTCGTGTCCTATTCTGGAGGGTGGTGCTCATCTCCATTTCTAAGCCAAAGAGATGGCGTTGTCCATAGACACCTCCAAGGACATGTGGCTGGCATGACTGCACAGAGCATTGTTACCTTCCCGCTGGAGCAGTACCTATTGATCTACTCACATTTGGATTTTTGAACTGCTAGGTTGGCAGAAGCTGGGGCTGATAGCGGAAGCTCACGCCACTCCCCGGATTCAAACCTGCGACCTTTCAGTCAACAAGCTCAGCAGCTCAGCGCTTTAACCCACTGTGCCACAGGGGGATTCAATTTATTTTAATAATTAATTTATTATTATTATTATTATTATTATTAGTAGTAGTAGTAGTAGTAGTAGTAGTAGTATCAGAACCCCCCAGTGGCACAGTGGGTTAAACCACTGAACTGCTGAGCTTGTTGACTGCAGGCTCAAATCTGGGGAGCGGCATGAGCTTCTGCTATGAGCTCCAGCTTCTGCCAACATAGCAGTTCAAAAACATGCAAATGTGAGTAGATCAATAGGTACCACTCCAGCAGAAGGTAAGGGTGCTCCAGACAACGTTGGCTCTTTGGCTTAGAAATGGAGATGAGCACCACCCTCCAGAATAGGACACGACTGGACTTAATGTCAGGGGGAATCCTTTACCCACTAATACTAATAATATAATAATTTATAATAATAATAATAATAATAATAATAATAATAATAATAATAATACATGATACAAGGATTTAAACGCTTAGAAATGAGCACCAATGCCCAGAGTCGGACACGACTGGAGTAAATGATGGGGGAAAACTTTATTTTATTTATTTATTTATGGCATTTATAGGTATCGCTCGAGCGGGAAGGTAACGGTGTTCCATGCAGTCATGCCGGCCACATGACCTTGGAGGTGTCTACGGACAATGCCCACACTTTGGCTTAGAAATGGACTTTACCTTTCTCCTATTATTATTATTTGAAACACAACAAGATTAGTGCACAGCAAACAAGGGCACTCTGTTGGCTGTTGTATTGGATCACACCTCGGACACTTCCCAAGTGTCTAGGACTGTGTGATGATCAGCAAATAGTGATTGCAGATCCCAGTAGGCTGGCCTTTTGCAGCTGACAGATGGTATTTTTGTCAGCGCCAATTGTTTTTAAGTGCAGGCCAAGGTCTTTAGGCACTGCACCCAGTTTGCTGATCACCACTATGACCACCTTTATTGGCCTGTGCCAGAGTTTTTGCAGTTCGAACTTTAAATCCTCGTATCATGCATCGGCTGCACAGCCAGGCACGAACACGATCAATCACAGCCACTTGAGGCTATAAACTACTTTATTTTACAGCTATATACATTAAAAGCTACTTAACACTCAGCACATTGTAATACTTGCTTCTACACATTCCGACTGTAACATTGCGAACACATGAACTGCTGTTATCAGTACTAGTCCACACCTCTTGCATTCCAGAGTGACGTATGACGTAGGACACACGACACTGCATCCAGTGTCGTGTGTCCTCTCTAGGAATGTCATTCCCTCCATGGTTCAGTTAACTCTTCCCACACAGGAATACACTCGGCACATAGCTACTACATTTTAAACATACATAAATACATACTTTGAAATCTACATTATAAATTGCAAACATCTTCAATATTATGATTATTAGTATTATTACTATTATTATTATCATCCTAAGATTGGAATGATGAAAGCAATGGGAGCCAAGCCCTTCGAGGAGAGGACGATGGAGCTGTGCTTAGGGGTGTGTTTGGAGTTTGATGAGAGGGTCCTACTTTAAGACCTGGTCGAGGTTGGGGATAATGGGCATTTGAGTCCAAAGGAGGACACATGGCAAGTTGGTGCTTACCTTGAGCCCCAGATTTGGGTCCACATTGTGGGTAGGGCTTGATGTCCCAAGTTCCCTGCATGCCGAGGGATTGTGCGGTGCAGGTATAAGTGTCCCCTTTGTCTTTGGGGTCCATGACAAGGTGAAGCCAGGGGCTCCGGGAGACGGTGGCACCCGTGGACGTGTGCTTCCAGGTATAGGTCACCGCTCTGCTCCCTGTCCCGGCTTCACAAAGCAAGTCCATACTGCAGGACTGGTTGTCGAACCGACTGGTGGCGATGACGCTGATGTCTGTGGAAAAGAAGAAAAGGAGAATGAGGGGAGCTGGTATCCTCACCCTTTGGAACCAGCCAACAAAAGCAAAAATTACATATGGGAAAGAACATAAAAGTTAGGACTGACCGCAGCAGCTTAGTTTTGTCAAAGTCGACAAGCAAGTGCACAATTCTGCATCTTGTTAAGGTTCCACATTTTGGTGCCCCAAACATTAGCCCTGTCTCTGGGTCTATTTGACCCAATGTTTCCAAAAGTGGTCCCAGTTTTTCCCTTTCAGCTCTAGTTTTTGAGATACAGAGCATATGGCATCTACCCGTCACCATCTGCTCGCCCATCGAAAGTCATGATGACCATATCTAAGAAATTAGAGCTGATGCGGTTTATCTAAATCCAACGCATTTTTCTGAATCAGCATCCCAAAGAACCCTAGGAATAGGCCTAAAATCCAAAACACAAATATTTAATTTTTGTTGGGCATTATTATTTTTCTTATTATTTGAAACACAATAAAATTTTGTCAGCGCCGATTGTGTTTAAGTGCAGGCCAAGGTCCTTAGGCACTGCACTCAGTGTGCCGATCACCACTGGGACCATCTTGACTGGCTTGTGCCAGAGTCTTTGCAGTTCGATCTTTAAATTCTCGTATCGAGTATTATTATTATTATTATTATTATTATTATTATTATTATTATTATTATTATTATTTTACTGACACAAAAGCACAGTATGCCACAACAAATGAGATTTATTATTATTATTATTATTATTATTATTATTATTATTATTTATTAGAAACACAACGAGATGAGTCCACAGCAAACAAGATCACTCTACTGGCTGTTGTATTGGATCACATGTCGGACATTTCCCAAGTGTCTAGGACTGTGTGATGTATTGGCAAATAATGCATGCAGATCCCAGTAAAGTGGCCTTTTGCAGCTGGCAGGTGGTAATTTTGTCAATGCCGATTGTGTTAAAGTGCAGGCCAAGGTCTTTAGGCACTGCACCCAGTGTGCCGATCACCACTGGGACCACCTTTACTGGCTTGTGCCAGAGTCTTTGCAGTTCGATCTTTAAATCTTATAACTTATTATTATTATTATTATTATTATTATTATTATTATTATTATTATTATTTGCTCTTGCTATTATTATTTCATTTTCCACCTCACCTTTCTTCCATTGATGGGACTCAAGGGTATTGCCATCATATGTCAAAGCAATGCAGGCTGGTTGGAGGAGGTGAAATAGAAAGATATTATTATTATTATTATTATTATTATTATTATTATTATTATTATTATTATTATTAATTTGGGCCGGGTTTAGCACAGCAGGTCAACCACCAGCTGTAGTAAATTTTGCCAATCTTGAAGGTTGACAGTTCAAAACCTGGGTCAGGGTGAACTCCTGGCCTTTAGCCCAGCTTCTGCCTACCTAGCAGTTTCGAAAACAACAACGTGAGTAGATAAATAGGTACTTTCTATATTTCTCCCTGTGTATCTGACCTTTTCCTGACTCTTTTGCCCAATTCCCCTTTATTGAGAAATGTATAAAAATACAAGGAAACCACCCCTCCCTGACCCAGGAAAGGAGGAAATCTTCAGTTGAAAAAGACCCTTATCAAAAGACACTATTTGCATGGACAATAAAAAGGATCGTGACCTCTGGCCTCGGAGTTGGCCCCCCAGAGGAAGCGGTCACTTGGCATTTATGATCATATCTCAATAGGGCAAAGGAAGCCTTCAGAAAGCCACACTTTGTCTTAATCTGTTACTGATTCAACTTTTATCCACCGAAAGTTCAGCCAAAATTCCCTCATTGTTCCTGTCTCTCAGCACTGGAAAAATCCGGATTATGGCAGGCTTGCCAACCATCAATGTTTATTGCAGCAGGACTCACTAGCTGCTTGGGCATTTCCTACTTCCATGATCCCCTCAAGAATCCATTGTTTCCCTCTCGTCCTGCCTCCCTCTCTCCTGATTCGTCAGGACGCCGAGGCGGCAGAAGCCCAGCGATTGGCCCAGGCGCTCAGGAGGAGGCCAAGCCTCCTACCAGCTGAAGAGCGCCAGCCAATCATCGTCGAGCTGGTAGAGGGGCGGGGAATGGGAGATTCAAACCTGGCAGCTTTGTTTTATGTATAAAAAAGGCCTTTATTTTTGTACACTGTATGCTCAGCTTGGCGAAATATTGCTGCTTTGCATCCTTTTCAGCTGAATCGCAATAAAATCATCTCGGTGGCGCTTCCTTCAACTTTGGTTTGATTTCTTTTGGGAACTTAGGAAAAACCTTTTAAATTGGGCTTCTCTTTGCTCACCATTGTAGCGAGCCCTCTTTGGTGGGTCCCCACGGTCTCTCCTACAGGGCCAGACCCTTTTAAATTCCTCCTCGATTTCACCACTACCTTGGACTACCTTGGACTTTTCCTAGTTTTCAACAGACTTCACAACCTCTGAGGATGCCTGCCATAGATGTGGGTGAAATGTCAGGAGAGAATGCTTCTGTAATACGGCCTGGAAAACTCACAGCAACCCAATTTGTAGCCATCTACACACAAGGACAAAAGTTTTGGACAATTATGCCCAGAGCGGAGATCTTACTCACTGAACACAAAGACTACATATTTCCCCAAGTCTGTCATAACGCTTTCAGCATTCTCCATCGAAATTTCAAAGATGCCTCCATCTTCCACCCTCAAGTGGCTGATCTGGAACTCGTGCCGGTCTTCCTCGAAGGTGATCCTTCCCGAGAACTGTGGAGAGATGACAGAGATCGGCTTCCCCGGTATCCAGACAGCCAGACCCCTGCGCAGGGAGGCCGATCGGAGTTGGATGTTGACGTAAGCGGCTCCTTTGGGAATCTTTGTATCCAGAGTGACCGAGTCCCCCACCTGGGTGGTGAAATTCGGGGTAGGGACTGCCGCTCCTGGGAAATTTATAATATTATAATTTAATGCAATATAATACTACTACTAATAATAATAATAATATGAAATTATAATTATATATTTATATTACATGTAATATCTATATATATAAAAATGCTCTGTGCATAATGAGTACCTTAAAAACAAAAGAACCAATGAACAAAATTACACCAAATTTGGCAACAAACCGTCGCACAACACAAGGAGTGACCATCACTCAAAAAATTATGATTTTGTTATTTGGGAGTTGTAGTTGCCGGGATTTATAGTTCACCTACAATCAAAGAGCATTCAGAACTCCACCAACGATGGAATTGAACCAAACTTGGCACAAAGACCTCCCATGACCAACAGAAAATACTGGAAGGGTTTGGTGGGCATTGACCTTGAGTTTGGGAGTTGTAGTTCACCTACATCCAGAGAGCACTGTGGATTCAAACAATGATCGATCTGGACCAAACTTGGCACAAGCACAACAATACACCCAAATATGAGCACAGATGGAGTTTGTGGGAAATAGACCTTGACATTTGGGAGTTGTAGTCCCTGATTCACAGTTCACCTACAATCAAAGGGCATTCTGAACCCCACAAATGACAGAATTTGGACAAACTTCCCACACAGAACCCCCATGACCAACAGAAAATACTTAAGGCCATCCAATCCAACTCCCTTCATCAGGTAGGAAAACGTAATCAAAGTCCTCCTAACAAAGAGCCATCCAGCCATAGAGATGGATGGATAGATAGATAGATAGATATAGATAGATAGGGAGTTGTAGTTGCTGGGATTTATAGTTCACCTACAATCAAATAGCATGATAGAATTGAACAAACCGAGGCATACAGGACTCCCATGACCAACAGAAAACACTAGAAGGGTTTGGTGAGCATTGACCTTGAGTTTGGGAGTTGTCACCTACATCCAGAGACTACCATGGACTCAAACAATGATGGATCTGGACCAAACTTGGCACACATATTCCATATGCTCAAATATGAACACAGATGGAGTTTGGGGGAAATAGACCTTGACATTTGGGAGTTGTAGTTACTGGGATTTATAGTTCACCTATAATCAAAGAGCATTCTAATTGGGCAAACTTCCTACATCCAGTCCAACTTCCTTCACCAGGGCAAGAAAACGTAATCAAACCCTCCTGACAAAGAGCCATCCAGGCATAGATATAGATAGACAGATATGATTTAAACACACACGGGTATAGTGTCATAGATTTCAAAGGGACCCCTGAAGAAGGACAATGATATGTTGCATGTTCTAGAGTAGGCAAACAAGACACTCTCCACATCAACACTGACAAAGAAACAGCAATAAATACTGTTTACCCAGAAGCATAAATAAATTACATATATCCAAAAGCAACACTTTCTCATTACTTTATTTTCCAGATCAACAGACTGGGCCACAGCAACGCGTGGCAGGGAACAGCTAGTATAAAAATGCTCAGTGCATAATGAGTACCTTAAAAACAAAAGAACCAATGAACGAAATCGCACCAAATTTGGCAACAAAACATCTCACAACACAAGGAGTGACCATCACTCAAAAAATTATGATTTTGTTATTTGGGAATTGTAGTTGCTGGGATTTATAGTTCACCTACAATCAAAGAGCATTCTGAACCCCACCAACGATGGAACTGAACACAGACGGGCAAAAAATACTGGAGGTCTTTGGGGAAAATTCACCTTGATTTGGGGGAGTTGTAGTTCACCTACATCCAGAGAGTACTGTGGACTCAAACAATGATTGATCTGGACCAAACGTGGCACAAGCACTCAATACGCCCAAATGTGAACACTGGTGGAGTTTGGGGAAAATAAAATATTGACATTTGGGAGGTGTAGTTGCTGGGATTTATACTTCACCTACAATCAAAGAGCATTCTGAACCCCACCAACGATGGAATTGAACCACACTTGGCACACAGTTCTCCCATGACCAACAGAAAATACTGGAAGGGTTTGGTGGGCAGTGTCCTTTGGTTTTGGAGTTGTAGTTCACCTACATCCAGAGAGCACTGTGGACTCAAACAATGATGGATCTGGACCAAACTCTACACGAATACTCAATATACCCAAATGTGAACACTGGTGGAGTTTAGGGAAAACAGAATCTTGACATTCAGGAGTTGTCATTGCTGGGGTTTATAGTTCACTTACAATCACAGAGCATTCTGAATCCCACCAACGATAGAATTGGGCCAAACCTCCCACACAGAAACCCCATGTAAATATTCAAAAACATTTAACCTACTAATGCCTAAATTGATATAATTTTATTGGTATCTATTTTTATTTTGAAATTTACTAGTAGCTGTTGCATTTTTTACCCTCGGCTTATCCTCAAGTCAATACATTTTCCCAGTTTTTTGTGGTAAAATTAGGTGCCTCGGCTTATATTCAGGTCGGCTTATACTCGAGTATATACGGTATATCTCATATTGTGTTGACGTCATGATATCTGATGCACTGGACCAAATTTGGCACAAACACCCGACATTCCCAGATTTGAACACTGGTGGGGTTGGGGCTGCTTCAATGAGGGCCAACTAACACCTCCCAACAAAGGATCCCCCAGGCAGGAAGCAGCCAGACTTTGAAGCTGCAAAGCCGGCCAACTGCAACATTCACAAACAGACAAGACTTCTTTATCTCTCCCTGGACAATAAGGATCTTCTGGGCACTGAAGGTCAAGACACCCAGTGCCAACCACGAGAAATAGGAACGCTAGGGGCAGAGGAAGAGGTCCTATTTTGACTTACTTGCAGTGTGGATGAGGAGGAGGAAGAGGATGATGGTGATGGGACCTCCAAAAAACTTCATGCTGGCTGGTCCTGGCAACTTCTAGAGAAATGTTGAAGAAGTCTTTCTCTCAATGTCTCAAAGAAGGAAGACGGGGAAGGCGAAAGAGACTTCCCCTTCTCTATTGTGGCCCTTGTGACCGAAGAGTCAGAACATAGCCAAAAGTCCCTTCTTGCTCCTCAACTTTCGCTAGAATCCTCCCCCCCAAAAAAGTTAGAGACACTCCCAAAATAGCTAGGGAAGCTTTGGTAAGGCATGGAAGGGGCAGGCGAAGGCAAAGGACAAACAACAAAGGAAAAGAATAGTTAATCTTCAACAATGTCTATGGAAGAGAAGGTGGGAGACATGAGCAGAAGGACAGGGAGATTGATAACACAGGGAAGGCAAGCTGACCTCACAGCCTTGGGTTTCCTCTTTGTTATTCCAAGATAACAAAGGTTCCCCCATGAAGGATCTATTCCTCCCAGAAAGACAGAGAAGACAAGGAATTGACTATTTTGTGTGCTAAATCCAGGAGACTTTAAACACCAAACCCTTGGAGAAGTCCATATACTGTCCCGAATCTACTGGGTTGGTAGTGAAATAGAAGAGTTTAGATCAACCGCGGATAATGAAACCCGGGCCGTGGATAACGAAACCCGGGCCCTGGATAACGAAACCTGGGCCACGGATAACAAAATCCGGTCCGTGGATAATGAAACCTGAGCTGCAGATAACGAAACCCAGACCGCGGATAACGAAACCCAGGCCGTGGATAACGAAACCCGGGTCGCAGATAACAAAACCCGGTCCGCGGATAACGAAACTGGGCCGCGGATAACGAAACTTGGGCCGGGGATAATGAACCCAGGCCGCGGATAACGAAACCCAGTCCGCAGATAATGAAACCCAGGCCGTGGATAACGAAACCCAGGCTGTGGATAACAAAACTCGGGCCACAGATAACAAAACTCGGCTGCAGATAACAAAACCCAGGCCTTGGATAACGAAACCCGGACCACGGATAACGAAATCCGTGCCATGGATAACAAAACCCGGGCTGCGGATAACGAAATCCGGGCTGCAGATAACGAAACCCGGGCCGTGGATAACAAAATCCGGGCCACTGATAACGAAACCCAGGCCCCGGGTAATGAAACCCGGGCCACGGATAGACTGCCCGTGAATAACGAAACCCTAGCCGCAGATAATGAAACCCGGGCCACGGATAATGAAACCCTAGCCGCGGATAATGAAACCCGAGCCACTATAACGAAACCTGGGCCACGGATAACGAAACCTTAGCTGCGGATAATGAAACCTGGGCCATGGATAACGAAACCCTGGCCACGGATAACGAAACCCTAGCCGCGGATAATGAAACTCGGGCCATGGATAACGAAACCTGGGCCACGGATAATGAAACCCGGGCTGCGGATATCGAGTCCCCATACTGGCAGCGGGCAGTCCGTGGATCTGTGCAACTTGCAAGACGAAGAAGCTTCAACCCAATAATTCCCAATCAATAACCCCTCCAAGTTGAAGAAGAATCCACCGAGGTAGTTTATTCAAGTCAGCTGAAGTGGATGTCAGCTCACAGGCCACAGATAGCGAAACCCGGGCAGCGGATAACGAAACCCGGGCCGCGGATACCGAGTCCCCATAAACGGGTACTGGCACCGGGCCGTCAGTGGATCTGTGCGCCTGGCAAGACAAAGAAGCCTCAATCCAATAATTGATGGAATTGAACCAAACTTGGCACACAGAACTCCCATGACTAACAGAAAATACTGGAAGGATTTGGTAGGCATTGACCTTGAGTTTGGGACTTGTAGTTCACCTACATCCAGAGAGCACTGCAGGCTCAAACAATGATGGGTCTGGACCGAATTTGGCATGAATACTCAATATGCCGAATTATGAACACTGGTGGAGTTTGGGGAAAATAGACCTTGACATTTGGGAGTTGTAGTTGCTGGGATTTATAGTTCACCTACAATCAAAGAGCATTCTGAACTCAACCAATGATGGAATTGAATCAAACTTGGCACACAGAACTCCAATGATCAACTGAAAAATACTGGAAGAGTTTGGTGGGCATTAACCTTGAGTTTGGGAATTGTAGTTCACCTACATCTAGAGAGCACTGTGGACTCAAATAATGATGGATCTGGACCAAACTTGGCATGAATACTCAATATGCCCAAATGTGAACACCGGTGGAGTTTGGGGAAAATAGTCCTTGACATTTAGGAGTTGCAGTTTCTGGGATTTATAGTTCATCTACAATCAAAGAGCATTCTGAACTCCACCAACAATGGAATTGAACCAAACTTGGCACACAGAATTTGCATGACCAACAAAAAATACTGGAAGGGTCTGGTGGGTATTTACCTTGAGTTTGGGAGTTGCAGTTTACCTACATCCAGAGAGCACTGTGGACTCAAACAATGATGGATCTGGACCAAACTTGGCATGAATACTCAACATGCCCAAATGTGAACACTGGTGGAGTTTGGGGAAAATTAGACCTTGACATTTGGGAGTTGTAGTTGCTGGGATTTATAGTTCACCTACAATCAAAGAGCATTCTGAACTCCACCAATGATGGAATTGAAACAAACTTGGTGCACAGAACTCCCATGACCAACAGAAAATACTGGAAGGGTTTGGTGGGCATTGACCTTGTGTTTGGGAGTTGGAGCACTTTCAAATAGTTTCGCAAATAGCTAAGGAGCATTTGGAGAAGTCACAGAAAGCTCAGAAGTCCTATAACAGGCCAAGGAGTCCTCATTTTCTTTCCCTCCTTGGAGGTTATGGGGTTTTATTTTTTTTTTGAGCCAATGGCAAAGAAAAATCTTTGTAAAACTACAGCTCCCGGGATTCCATATGGGAGTTAAAGTGGGGTCAAACTGCATTCATTCAACAGTGTAAGTATGCCCTTAATGAGAAATCATTGGCAGACTTTCTTGCTTTGGGGGTCTTGAAAAGAGAGCTTGGTTGGGCATCATTCGGGAGTATGAGGTTAGACTAAATGGCCTTTTGGGGTCCCATCCAACTCTAGTACTGGAGGACTCTATGCATTTCCCCCTTTGGTCAGCAGAAAAAAGATGTCAAAGAGGAACTGGGTGGAGCAGGACACATCATAGGGATGATGACATTTTTAGGGTGGTCAGCGAAAAAAAAAGTCAGCTGAGGAGGAACCGAGAAGAGCTGAAATCTTGTTTTGGGTCAGCAGGAAATGACACATTGCAGCAGTTTTTGAATCAATCGCAGCTTTCTAAATCAAGCACTGATGTCATTGCTTCAATTAACAAGATGATGCCTTTTGCCCAAGGATGCAAAACTCAAATATTTCTCCGTGCCATCTTACACATTCCAAAGAAAACAACCCCATGGCTTGGAATGTGTTGGAATCATCTTCTCCTGAGGTTTTTAAGCAAAGGCTGGATGGCCATCTGTCGGGAGAGCTTTGGTTGTGTCTTCCCGCCTGGAATAAGGAGGTTGGACTGGGTGACCTTTCCAAAACTAACGATAATATGGTTTAATGTACCCAAAGAGAACAGCCCCATGGCTTGGAATGTGTTGGAATCGTCTTCTGAGGTTTTAAAGCAAAGGCTGCATGGCCATCTGTCGGGAGAGCTTTGATTGTGTCTTCCCACTTGGAATAAGGAGGTTGGACTGGGTGACCCTTCCAAAACTAACGATAATATGGTTTAATGTACCCAAACTTTGTTTTGAGCACAATATTATGAATAATATTATTATAGTATTATTATAAATAATAACATCATAATATATTGTAAGTAATAATATTAATATTATTATTGATATTATTCCTAATGTTGTGAATGAAACAAGATTTGCTTCATGTATACATAGTTCTGTGGAGACACCGGTGGCGCAGTGGGTTAAACTGTTGAGCTGCTGAAAGTGCTGATCGAAAGGTTGCCGGTTCAAATCCGGGGAGTGGGGTGAGCTCCCGCTGTTACCCCAACTTCTGCCAACCTAGCAGTTCGGAATCATGCAAATGTGAGTAGATCAATAGGTACCGCTCTGGCAGGAACGTAATGGTGCTCCATGCAGTCATGCCAATCACATGACCTTGGAGGTGTCTATGGACAACGCTGGCTCTTCAACTTAGAAATGGAAAAAGTAATGGTAATATTATTGATATTGTTATTAATGTTATTAATAATAATACTATAATAATATTAATAATAATAATAATAATAATGTTGTGTTTGAAATTATCTCCTATATGTGTTTTGTGTGTGCATATATGTGTGCATATATTTGTGTATATGTGTGGTTTTGCGCATGTGTTGTAATGTATTTTTTATTTTTTGTCTTTTTAAGTCTCTTCCGTTGTGTTTTTATGAGTGATGGTCACTCGTTGGCCTGATATTATGTCCAAATTTGGTGTCAATCCCACAAACGAACATTACATTTTTATTTATATAGATAATACAATAATATATTATTTATAATAGTAACAGTTATATGTTACGTGTTATTATTATGTGTAATGTGTTATTATTATAATAGTATGTTATTATTATGAATAATACTATAATAGTATTAATAGTATTGTGTTTAAAAATTATCTCCTAGCTATGCGTAATGAAGCATAAGTGAGTTTGATGTTTAACTTAGGTGTCATTTCCAAAATATCGTATGATTGCGCTATCTATCAATCCAAGTAATTCAATATCTGAAATCCAAAATACTTCTGTTCTCATACGTTTCAAATAGCCATCAATGTGATGTGGCGGCAAAAAAAGCCAATGGGATTTCGGCCTGCATCAATAGGAGCCTAGTGTCTAGATCTAGGGAAGTCATGCTCCCCATGCTCTATTCTGCCTTGGTTAGACCACACCTGGAATATTGTGTCCAATTCTGGGCACCACAATTCAAGAGAGATATTGACAAGCTGGAATGTGTCCAGAGGAGGGCGACTAAAATGATCAAGGGTCTGGAGAACAAGCCCTATGAGGAGCGGCTTAAAGAGTTGGGCATGTTTAGCCCGAAGGAGAGAAGGTTGAGAGGAGACATGAGGGCCATGTATAAATATGTGAGGGGAAGTCATAGGGAGGAGGAAGCAAACTGGAGACTAGGACGCAATGGAACAACGGCTTCAAACTACAAGGAGATTCC